CTATGAGCACATATTTTTCAATTTCTTTTCTATTAGAGATCCTCACGACAGAGGAACACATAAGTTGTTTATACAACTAATCCCACAAAAACTCACCTCAGAAATATTGTCAAATCCACTGAGTAAATGGAAAGCTACTTTCTATCTACAAGTTCTAAATTTGAAAGCAAACTTAAAATTAAAACCTTGTCTGAAGGCAGTAGAACTAATAAAAATTAAAAGAAAGCTTTTATAAACATCAGAAAACAGAAACTTACTCTTCCAATTTTTTTTTTTTTTTAATCCAAAGAAAAACTTCTAAAAGGTGAACGATCCTGGAAGCAATTCTATTTTTCTTAAAAAACAAACCACCCAACCCATACGTCCTTTAAAGCCAACATTCAAGGAACAGTGAAGTGAATCACTAAATCTACACTTGGATGTTAGGAGATATTCAAAGCAGTTTCATGGAGAACTCACTTTCCTTTGTGATCAGAGTTTTCTCATCCCAGCTTTGACCATACAGTTACAGTGAAGAAATGATTTTCATAGTAATGAATAATTACTTAAACATTAACAGCAGTTAATAGTAACTACATAGATGGAATCCACTCCAGCTTCCCCCTGAACCCTTCACTATGCTCCATTACTCTCAGACTTGCCTCTTTCCACCTACCCTGCGATTTCCTCTCTACAAAGCCCATTGCCCGAGCATCTTCCATTCTCTTGTGGCTGCCCTAACACCCTGCTCATTGTTTGTTTCCCTGGCCAATGGTCATACTAATTTAATCAGCAGTTCCCATTTGCTGCCAGGGCTGCCAACATAGGAACCTAACACAGTTCTCAGTTCAAGGCTGTTTGCTATCCCTTTGCTATGAGGACTCTGAACTCCTTCAGGAACCAGTGGAAACAAAGCAAGTCAACAAAGAATGACAGAAGCTCCCACCACCACTTTAGTAAAAATAGGAACTCATTATTTAAAATATTTCATTCAGCCTCTAATAGCAGTAAGATTTTTAATCTTAGAACTGTATTAGTCAGTAACAGTGCTCACTGACAAATGATCTTAATTGCCAATTAAAAAGAAAAAAAACAACTCACGTGCAAAAGAAACAGTCACAATGCTTCAATTATACTTTGGAATTTAAATACCACGAGCTATAGTCAAATTTCATTAAAAGAGCCTGCACTGCACAACAGCACACAATTCAGCAGATTTTATGCTATGTACATTTACACTCTTCAGTTGTTATTTTAAGCAATTCAGTAAGACCATGGTATGAAGCAAAGTTTCAAAGTCTCTTAAATATAAATGCAGTGAAACACGCAGTATTTTCTTCACAGTAAAAAACAATTGAGTACAGGTGGCTTAAGTGAACAAACCTTGCTTGTTTGCATAAAGTTCTACTGTGTATCTTACTGTGGGTCATTCTGCTCCATACAGTGAAGCAGAAACACCCTCTGCCCTTTTTATAACAAGGGTTGCATCTAGCATTTTTACTTTTAAATTGTATCTATTTATAGCTATGTATCTCCCTCTCATTATTCCTAAAACTACCCTACTTATCTGGCCTCTTTATTTTCTTTCCTGGACACCAGTATCTCATCATTCATGCATTTTAAAAGACCTACAACAGCCTTCCATCCTCAAGCAGGAGAGTCCTCAAATCTTTGTATTTCCCTTTTTCTTTCATGGAAACATTTTTCCACATCTACAAGGCCCTTCATAGTTCTATTCCCCATAAACAATGCTGGCTTTAAGTCCCTATTTGTTACTGTTAAGAAACTTCACACTTGAGCTGGTCTCATAAGACCCCCTAATCTCTTCAAACCCCACACTTGCCTATAGCAGCTGACCTATAAATAAGAGATGCACTGAGGGGGAGAAGCTGTTCATTATGTTTTGAACACTTGCATACAGAGACAATGCCCCCATGCACAGGGACCTGAAAGCAAGAACAAAGTTAAGGCAGTTTTTTGATACACTGCATGTACAAGTGCTCTTAGGAAACCAGGAATGTGACAAAAACTTGCAATTACTCCACGGTGTTCAGTCCAAGGTAAACTTGGAAGTCTCTCTCCAGAGAACAAGTGTCTCTGTACACAGTCTCTTTCTACAGAAACCATGCAGTAAGCAATTCTGAAAAATGCTTTGTTTGCACTGTATCAGTATGGAGGGCTTACCCGTAACACGTTTCAAAACCTTAATTGAATTTCTCCCCATGGATTACAATTCTACAGAAGATTCTGCCATGAATATTACAGAAATAAGCTGTTACAAAAAATACCTTTATATACATACTAAGGATATTAATAGGAGGTGGTTCTATCATTTTTGACTAATTAATTTTCAGTCAACTCCTGCTTATATTTTAAATGCATACACTTAAATCGTCAAATGACATTTAAATGACATTCTGCATTTACCACAAAAACATGAACCAGTCATGACTGAATCAGTGTGCTACAACACTGAATCTTCCTGTTTCTCTTCAGAGCTAAAATTACTAAGAGATGTATAGGAGTTCTTTCCAAACACAGAGTTGAGAGGGAGAGATCAAGTTAAATCGGCTTTATGTTCAGCAGTAATACTCTGAATTTATGTCCTATTTTGTTTTCTAAGGTATGAGAGAAGAAGATATTGTTTGTTTGGAACTTTAATTCAGTTTAGGAAAATAAATACTAGAGATGTTTCAATGAGATTTGCTAAGTTCAGCTAGATCACAGGAAGGCAGTAACACCTGTAGTAGTTTCAAACTGAGCAGCACCAATTTTAAAATAATGCACAGCAATTACAAAAAATAAAAACCACTCAGCTTCTTCCTTCCTCCATGAAGAATGCAAAAAGAAAACAAGACAGGCATTTATAGTAGTATCATAGCAAATTAGTAGTTCTCAGTCCTATAAAGGCTTAGATGAAAAATGTTAGCACTTTTGTAATGTTTTTCTTTTTTCCACTGTATGTCTCTAATTGCAAAACTAAGGGAAATACTATAATAGCAGCCCTTCAGAGTAATTCAATACAGAAAATGGTAAAATATTTTATTATGTCTTTTGCCTATTAGTAATATGCAAATGCTCATTACACTACAGCATTTTACCTATATTTTAACACCTACCTTCAATTCATACTGACAGAAATACTCAGTATATCAAAGAAAAATTAATACCCTTCTGCCCACATCTACTCAGCTTTGGTTAACTACATACAGTACACAGGATTTAACATAATTTTGGTTGTTTTGACTACATTTCACAGAGGTGAAACTGCAGTCAAACTAACCTTACTAATGACACACAAAAAAATCACTTATTTACATTAAACAGTACAAATGTTAAACTTTTAAAATTAGTAATTTCCCTTAGACTGTTGAAGACTACTTCCTTCTTCCAGTCTGTTAACACATGATGTGAAAACACCTGCTTTCAGATCAGAATAAATGAAACTTTCCACTGTCTTAACAACTAGGAGAAGGTACAGGGGGATGGTGTTCCTTTCATTCACAAAACTACAAATAATTAATTTTTCCTTCATCCTGACTGCATGCATACATGCTTCAGACCACTCCCCAGCTATTAAATCCATCTGGACCTTGTAAGGACTTCAGAATATCTCTCCTATCTTACCACACTTCCAACACACAAATAAGCAGAAGCACTCCCCATATAGAGCCTCATCCTCCAGATGTTTTCATATATGCATGATTCCACTAAATGCAGCTCTGTTCAAGCAGAAAAAATTACTGACTGTAGCAAAACTAAGCAGAATTGCAAGAGAATGTGGGACTAATTGTTGGACAGGTGAACAGAAAATAAAAGAGGACACATCTATATCCTGCAAAGTAGCACAGAATAGCAGCATATGGGCATTACACATGCATTTAATTCTGAGATTACAACACTTTCAATTATTATCAGATACAAGGAAAATCAGTGCATTAACAAAAGAGGCATGTTCTTATAATGCATCTACACACTTCTATGCCATTAACAGTAGTCTACAGAGTCTCAGCATTAAGTCAAAGAAGGAAGAACAAATAGGATTTATAAGAATAATTGGGTACCCATGAACACATTTGTAGTGGTAAACTAGTATGTCCTAAAAAGGTACTTGAAAGCTATTTCCTTTATTTTACTATAACTATTATATCATGTAAAAGCAGTGCAGCAATAAATGTGTATGTACATCAGAATTTGTTAGCTTTATACAGAACAAAGAAGCACTGATTTAAAGCTCCAAATTCTCTACTTGAATTCTTCACCTTGTACCTTGACACAAAGACCAATCAACAAAACAAAAGAATTTTTCCAATTTCGGACAGCAACTGCAATTTTCTAAACTCTGGCTGTTTGTTACGTAACACTGTTTATTACCTGGAAAATCCTACTCTTTTCCTAGGAAGCAGGGGTACAAAATAAGACCAGTTAAAAAATACTGGGGATATTACTACTGTTTATAAACCTGCAAAAACACAGCAGGCTGACTTGACTGTGAACACAGTTCTTCAAGCTCCTGTCAAGAAAGGCTCTAGTATGTGCTACCCTTGATCATCTATTAAGAGTTCTACATAGCAGCTAAATTTACCAAGAAGCTTTTCTCATTTCTGATGGGGTATAGTCTATGGAGCATGTACCTACACAGTACAGCACCACAATACACAAAGTTATTAAAAAGAATGCAAAACAGCAAATATTTATTGCTAATGAAAATTCAGAAAACTATTTCATGTTATCAAATACTGCAGTATGTCTAAATAAATAAGACATACTAGTTCAAATAATAAAAAAGGGTTTATTTAATCTTTGGGGCTGTAAGGAAAACTACCATATCTGTAAAAACCAGGAAATTAATAGGTGTTACCTCAATGATTGCTTCCAATTAAATTCCCATTTTGGGTTCACTACAGTCACCCTAGCTGAGTACAAGGCACATTTAGTATAAGACATCACCTGAGTGATACTGGCTAATTTTAATGAGAAATTAGTGATTGCTTAAGTAAAAGTTTGTTAAAATAACTTACCACCATCCCTCTCTCTAACTCTGTGAGTATGCACACTTTTTGCTTTACTGTGCCCTGTGTTGTCACCGTATTTGTTTTCAGGGCTGTCAGAGCGCCGCAGCATTTTATTTGGTGGTGAGGGATCTGTGGTGTCTCGCATCTTGTCATGACGGTGATCACCACCACTGGGGTGACTCTTGGATGAGTACTTAAGAGCCTGAAACACATCACAAGAAAACAGGCATTGACATTAGATGCAGCATTTTGGGATTTTTTTCTTCTCTTCCAAAAGTACTTTTAAAACTTAATTAATTTTCATTTCCTATTAAAAAAAAAAAATCAGCATTAGTCTTCCTAGTTTTAATTACCTAGATTAAAGCAACAAGTTCTGTAATTAGAACTTAAACCAATTTCTCCCACTATTACATCCAATGCAACACTTGCTGTTAAGAAGAACCTAGTTTCTCTATCTTTTCACTGATAGACTACACACTTTCAGCAGTAAATGGGCCACAGTTCTTCCACACTTCTGGGAGAAGAACTAGTCTCCACTTGCTATTAGGAAAACAAACTTACAGTTAGACTGAATCAGTGTAAACTTTGAATATGTCCTCTATACTCTAGTCAAGACCACTCAGTTTCACCATTACCTTGAATTTCTGTGATGTTTTCTTCAGTACTAACATCCCTGTAACACGTGTAATTAAAAAAAAATCATTCCAGGGGGCCAAAACATGTAATGTAATAACTCATTCTAAAGTCTTTACCAAAAATTACATGCTCTGCCTAACTCTAACCTACTTGGTTCTGTGAACTCCTGAGTGGCAAATGTTTACATTTATGTGAACTGTCACTGACAGCTGCCTTGGACTGCCATACTGCACTCCAGTGATTGAAATACACAGAAATGCATTAAAACAGTTCAATTCAGGGCCTACAGACATCAATATCACAACATACGGCTTTCCACAGACTCAAACCTCGACAACTGGGTTTCTTCAGTGGACACAGCAAAGAAGTGCAGTGTCCACCTTACAGGAATTGAGGCTATTGTCGGTAAGCCAAGGATTTGATGGTTACTGAACATGCCCAGCAGCTGGCAACTGCAGAAATTAAGCCTCACTTGCAGCCCCAAGTTGGTCAGGGTCTAAACCCGTGCCCTGCTCAGATTACAGCCCCCAGCAGCAGTTTTGGGGAGAAGAAAGGGCTTTGGGGAGGGGTTGGGGGAGGGGGCTGGGGGGGGGGGAGTGGAAGAGTAAGACTCCTTTTGTTTTTAGAAGAAAAACATTCACCTCTCCTGGATCTCCACTCCACCGTAGGAGACCCCGGCTCCCCCTCCCGCCCCTCGCACCCTCCCCGACTCCCAGGCCCGAGGCCCGCACGGGTTGCACTAGGCCGCTCCTGCTCGTCCCGGCTCCGCAGGCCTCAGCCGAGCACCGGGGCCCCGTTCCCGGCGCCAGGGCCGCCGCCGCCTCTCGGCCCCGCGGCCCCGGGCCCAGAGCGCCGCCAGGGGCCGGACCGGGGCGGCCGCGGCACCGCGGCCTGCAGCGGCCGCCGGAGCCTCTGCTGAAGTAGCACCCCCCCGCCTCCCCTGCTCCTCCTCCCGGCCCGGCGGTACCTGGTAGGGCTGCGAGTCCCCCCTGCGGTCGTGACAGCTGAGGAGAAAGCGAGAGAAAGACAGAGAGGCGTTAGCGAGCGCCCGTTACCGGCCCCGCGGCCGGGCCGAACATGGCGGAGGGGGTGGGGGGGGGGGGTGGCCCCGCGGGGCCGGGGGGGGTGAATTTACCCATCACTGAGTCTCTGCTGTTTCCTCGCATACATTACCATCAATGCCCGGCCTGTGTGTGTGAGGGTGAGGGGACCAGGAGGGCACGGCCGCGGCCGGGCCACAGGCGCCGAGGGGGGAGGCGGGGGCGGCAGCGCTCCGGGGGCAGGGGCGGGGGAAGGGGGCGGCTCGGGCAGCTCGGCTGGAGCGGCGCTCACGGGCCCATCGCCTCGAGAGGGGAGACGCTGGCAGCTCGGCCCCGCGCGCGCTGAGACACACCGGGAGCACCGACTCGGCCACCGCCTCCCCCCGCCGCGCCCGCCGCCGCCGCTCCAACTACATCCGGGGAACTCGGGCGACGCCGCGCTCGGTCAACGTCGGCTCTTTCCGGCTCTTTCCGACGCGCTCCGTCCCCTCTGTCCCCTTTGCTCTCGGGCGACTCTGCCTTCGGTAAACATCGGCTGCGTCCGCCGAGCCCGACGCCCCTCAGTCCCTCCCTTCGGCAAACATCGGCTGCCTCCGCCGAGCACGACGCCCTTCAGTCCCTCCCTTCGGAAAACATCGGCTCCTTCCGTAACGCTCGGCCCTCCCTGCCCCTCCCGCCTCGGCCCACTCTTGCGAGCGCTACCTGTCTTCGGAAAACATCGCGTTTTTCCGGAGAGACGTTTCCGCGCGGCCGTCAGGGCGGCGCCACGTTCGGAAGCGCTCGGGTATTTCCGTGACCCCTCACGGGCCGGCGCGGTCGTTGGCGGGCGCACGGGGCCGGCTAGCCGAGGGCAGCGCGGCCTCGCTGGCAGAGCCGCTCCCTCGGTGGGGAGGAATCGCGATCCTGCCAGGCAGGTGGGGGCAACGGGGAATTGCGGGGGGGAGCTAGGAATGGGACGGTCTCCTCTTACCTACCCCCTCCTCCCCTTCCGCCCGGGCTCTCGATGTGCAGACAGGAGCCATTTTGTGCGCGGCGCGTGTTCCGCGGGGCCGCGCTCTGCGGCGAGGAGGGTGTTAAAATGTCCCTGGGACGGCGGCCGCCTGGGTTGGGCCTTGGCCCCGTTGTCTCCGTGGGGGTGTGAGTGGCGGCACCCGCCCGTGGGCCCGGCACCCGCGATCCGCGTCATCCCAGTGTTTGGAAGCTCCGGGTGCTCGCTGTGTCGGGGAGATTTCCTCGCGTTGTCAGTGCCCTCTGAGCCCTTCAGGGTGGTGCCTGGTGAAAGGATGAGGAGCCAGGGCCGTAAACTAAAACACAAGAAGTTTCACCTCACAGTGAGAAAGGACTTCTCGTGTTGGATTAGGCGTGGAGTCTCCCTCTGCGGAGACATTTAATACCCACTTGGATGCTCCAGGTGACCCTGTCTTGCCAGGGAGTTGGACTGGATGGTCTCCAGAAGGCCCTTCCAACCCTCACCATTCTGTGATTCTGTAATTTTTGCTTATTTCTGATCAGGCCCTCGAAGTTTGTGGTACAAAGCATCCTATATTCAGGATTGTATAAAGGTATTATAAATAAATATCATAAATACTTTGATACTATTGCCATGACAGTGTCATAGGGACTAGCAGCTTTCAGTAAAGGTTTAAGAGCATTTGCTAAGTTTTCTCCCGTTCCCCACTTGAAAAGGGAAGAGATGTGGCACATCTGAGAATGAGCATGTTAACCTTAAATAGAGCACCTTGTCCGGTGGCTCCATCTATGCTAATGAAGCATTATTCATGGCAACATCTTACGGATTTTTTTCTGTTTCTTTGTTTGTTTGTTTTTCTTTCATTTGAGTGCAGGAGGCCATTGCTGAAAAGGGACTTCAGGGAGTGAGTGCAGGATGACTCAGCAGGGAGCTGTTCTTCAGGGTTACAATAATGAACTAGTGAAATGCATTGAAGATTTATGTATGCAGAAAGAAGAACTGAACAAACAAATCCAGCAAGCAGAAGAGGAAAAGAATAAACTCCAGCATGAAATCCAAGTCCTCAGCGAACAGCTGGAGTGTGTATGTGAAAACCTGGCCCAAAAAGTGGCTTCACGGAATGAGCTTGATAAAATACTTGCTGAAACTGAAGCTGCTTACATGAAGATTTTGGATAGTTCTAGAACTTTACTTAATGTCCTGAAGAAAGAAGTGGGAAGCTTAAAGCATTCACCAGATCTGAAAACCAATGTAACGTGAAACAGTCAAATGTTTGGACTCTGCAGTGCTAAAATTCCACTAGGTGAGAAATGTGGTCAACCACAGAACCTTACAGCCACAGTGTAAGCAGAGAGGGATTTTCTTCCAGTCTTTCTGTATGTTTTATTTTCAAATGCACTAGAAAATAGATTAAATAAAGTTGCTGTTTTGCTTTAAAAAATCTAATTAATTGAACACTACAAAAAATAGCAGATAGGTAGTTGAGGTAGATGGGAGACTGTCAGTTTTGACATCATTGTGCTTCAAGGATTAGAAAAAAGGCATGTTTTATTGGTTGACTTCAGATGGCTCCCAGTAAATGATGCTTTGAAAACTACTGGATGCAAGTCAATCAGATGCTATTTCTTTTCACTTTACAAATGCTTAGGCTTTACTGCTGGGACCAAGTAGAAATGAGCTATTTAGCTTCCTCTAGGAGCTTGGAGCCAGGAGCACGCATCTGTCTGATGCATGCACAAAGATAGCCCCGTTTACAGTAATTGCCTACTTCAATAAGAGAGGGATAAGGTGAGAAATCAGGAGTAATGCAGGGCATGGAGGCTTAAAATTTAGCACTGCATCTTCTGAGGCTGTTCTTCAAAGCCTTGTTTAGAAAGGAGTTGTGCCACAGTGAAAGTCAGGTTTGGTGCAAGTGCAGGCAGCTACACCAGGAAGGCTGGACCAGGAATTCACTTGGGGGTAAAAAAATGTGTCAGTAGCAACTAAAAGGCCTGAAAAACCATTGGGGTCCAGTTAAAAATACAGAGGTAAATACAAGACCAAAGAAGATAATCCTGGCTAAAAGCCAGTAATAGAATGTCTGAAAGCCTTTTTAGTGCCTTTTAGCTCTATACTGATCTGTTAAATAATTGTAGTAAGATTGTGGAGTATAATGAACACCCTGAAATGATGTGAAAGAAATACAAATGAAAGGTGAAAGAAGAAAATGAGAAGTGGTTTACAGCTATCAGCCATTCTTACAGAGGACATCAAAATAGAACTTAGTTTAGAGATCAGGGATGACATAACAGCGTGGCATAAATTTCAATTGAATGCTGTTTTTTGTTCCTGCTGAACCTCTCTGTTCTGCAGAAATCTCTCAGCAGTAGGTGCATGTACATGTGCATTTTGTCCCACTTATTTGTGTGTTACAACAGTAACTTTTTAAACTGTGTCTTGTCAAATCTTCATTCAATACCAATTAATTAAATTGAAAGAAGTGCAATTGAAATCTCCTGACTTGATAGTGGTGTGTCTGTCAGGTGCACATACAGAGGGAATGGAGATGTGAATAATCTTGGTAATAGCTCTTCATCAGTAATAGGGAGCAAATTTTATGTTCTTCTGGTTGCCAAGCTACGTCAGGGATGAGTGTGACTGAGCTAATGGCAGTTTATTTGTGTGGCACTTCAGGGGCTTCCCTCTGGGGGATTCCCAGTGGGCAATGCAGAGGTGATAAAAGTACATCATCTCAGGGGCTTTGCTGTTGTGGTACTGCAGCACTCAGGACCACCTTGTTTATGTTGAAGGGAAACACGAAAATTTTGCTCTCTTTAGTAGCAAAAAAGTGATTTATTTGACTGGACACTTCATGACATTCTGTCTGCCCTTAGACTCATAGTAGTAAGTGATTTATAAGAAATAGGAAGATTCAGGAAAAGTACTACCTAAAGAGCAAGAACTTTGAGTTGCAAATGTAAGCTGCTGCTTCTTATTAGCTGCACTGGAACTCGAAATTGTGAAAAACAATTTGTATCATAGAAAGCTCATTTATGGAGAACAGTACAGTTAATTTCTAGTATTGGTCTCACCCAATAATTACAGGTTTGTTTGCCTTAGAGTAATCATAAATAATGCTTCTTGTTCTAGTGAAGCTGATAAAACTGAAGAAGCATTAAGAGAAGCCTTAAAAAACTTCAAAGAAATCTACTTCACGGCCATTATTATGTCTAGTGGTAGCTATTATGGTGTCAAAACTAAATAACTGGAGATGCTTGATTTTTCTTTTTTTTACTAAAAAAACGAAGGGAAAATGTAACTGTTGACTAGTACTTATGCACATGCAGGGGCCTCCCAACATTCAAATAAAAAGTTGAAATGTTGCTAGAATTCCATTCAGTGATCCCAATCTAAAGTTTCCATTTAAATTCACATTTAAAAGTGGAGAGAAATAATAGATCTCTAGGGCCTGCTTATTTTTAGAATAACTCCCTAGTGTGGCAGTCATCCTGCACCTGTAGAGTTGCTACTCAGAAATAGTGTTTAGCATTGTATTTTGTATTTACCCAAATGAACCCTTTTATTGATGTGGTAACCTTTTTCACTGCTCTTTCAGACACTATAAATCTTGACATGAATAGCTTTTGTTAAAAAACTTCACTTTGTTCAGAAGACATGCAGACTTAAGTTGGTCCAAAGTATTGCTGGAAGAGAAGTGATAATTTGCAGATGGCAGCAGCTCTGCAAGGATAGCCTGAAACAGAAATTCTACCTGGAATAAGGCAGGTCATAAGTTTAAAGTATCATACTTATTCCTAACTTAATTTTTGTATTGAATTTTTATGACTCTCTGAGTTTGACCTGGTGCTTTACTGGAGTGCTTACAGTCTAGGACCCTTACTGAGAAAAATTGGGTTCTTAATCTAAACTGCTGTGTTGAGTGTTCTGTATCTTATTTAGTATGTGAGGAGACAGTTTTTGAAACTCCTATCTGTGCCTGATTCAGAGGTTTAGTGAAATGCATCTGGATCCGTTGTCTAAAGTCCTGAATTTATGTAGAGGCAACTTTTTACCCGGCTTCCAAATAACAGAAGATAACTGGAAGGGGTCTGATGATTCCCTGCTTCTATAGCAATGCTTCTTGAAAATGTGCCCAGCACTTAACACACTAATGATCAACAGTTTTTTCAAAACGTTTGACTGTTGACTCCTTGTAAGTAAACTGAAGAGATTTTGGCAGTTCCAAAAGAAACTGCTTGTGGGTGGTATGTTGAAGTAGAAGTAATTTTCTGTGTGGAAGTGACTATAGGAACCACTGGGTGAAGTGCTTATGCCAGCAGCCATTCACACCCCATTACTGTCTCTTTTCAAAGGTGCTTACCCTGCTGTTAGGTGCTTCCCACATGCAGTTGCTGTTAATCACCTTACAGGAATGGAGGTGAGTGGACTGGGGGTTCACCCTGATTTTAAGGGTAGGGAATAAAGAGAATTTATGGATGTGAAGTCCTGGTTAGGGACTGCAGCATGAGGTGGTAGGATAGAGAGGTGGAGGTTCTCCTGATTCCTGTCTGCTCTAAGTGTACTTGTACTGAGCTACTGCCTACAGTTCTTGCTACCCAATAAATCAAATTCCAGAAATCATCTGAGCTTCATCGTAGCTCTGGACATTCTCCCCCTTCCTTTAAGCCCACGGATGGTCAGCAAAAGAGGCAATCTGTGTTTTGTTTTCTCTTTCTGTCTTTTATTTCTTTCTGTTCCAGCAGGAGGCTGTGCAGTCTGAGCCTCCTGTTTCCTGGGTAAGTGTGCTGCCAGGCTCACACAGGATGTTGTTTCCTGTCCTGGTTGCTCTCCTATGAACAGTTCTCAGGGAATTGCTCGAGTTTTATAAAGAACCTCCAGTTCTGTGTGTACTTGATGTAGTCTGTATGTCAGATTGACCTTGGAGGGTTTAGGCAGAGGATTGGCAGGTTTTTGGCTTTTGGTGAAAGCAAGAGATTTGTTTCCTTGGATTAGGAATTCTTCAGACCAGGAAGACTCGGCGTCTTCAAATACCCAAAGAATTGTACATTTAAACAATGAAGCAAGCTGTAGTCTAAACCCAGGTGCCTGGACCTTGGATTGCTGTTTCAGAATTGAGAATCATTTCCATCTAGGGGTACAATGACATTTCCATCTGTACTTGGGGTACAGGTGTGTTCCACTCCAAATCCAGTAAGTGGATTAAACTGAACTGGTAATTCTGTAACAAGAACATTCAGAAGATTGTTAGCCAAGGGATTAAATGTCTACAGTTAGTTCATCATACAGATGAGATTTGTGCAGAAGACCAATATCTATTACTCCTTAGATGATTTTGCTGGTTAGGAGAGATTTGAGTGATAAGATGTAGCTTGTGGCTGTTGCCTTAACTTTGAGCAGATCCTAGATTCTTGGGGTTTTATCAAAGAAGAAGTAGACACAACAGTTATTTTTTTATAATTTATTTTCTTTTTAAATTTCTTCCTTTTCAGGAATGAACAAAGAATTATTAATAAATACTGTAGTGTTGATTTATTTGTGTGTGTCTTGGTGCGTTTCTTAACAGATGAATAGGCAATTTTTCCTAAAATCAGAATGCTCTTCTAGCTTTTATGTATGTGTGTGTTTTTATATATAGATGAAAATATTTTCTTTTTTGGGTGAAGGACAGACTAGCCTTTGATAAATTTGTGCACCAATTGCTTTGTCAGTGTCTGTTATCTTACTGGGGCAGAGTCAGGCACCATGGCCATTTCTTGGGGGTCTGTTCTATGCCTTTTTTAAATTGGGGATGGGTTTTTTTGTTCTTTGCCCTTTAACTACTTATAAGTCTGTCAGGGATTTTATTAGATGCCTCAGAGTAGTCCTTGATGGTTGTCTGCCTCAGTTGCTTTCTGATGAAGTTTGGTTCACTGTCCAGCTGTAAAACCCAGCTGCTTGCATGTTAGGCATTGATGAAACATGGAGGAGTTCAGGCTTGCAGAGCAGGGAGCTATATGGTCATTCATAGCTCTAGCTTGTGGGGTTTGTGTGAAAAGTAGTGCAGTGTTGTAGTGTGTATTGACTAAAATAAGGTGTTAGTAGAATTGGGGCTAGTGGAACACTTCATTTTGTAGTGGTTTTGAAAAGTAGTTTTACAAGATCTTGTGGGGTGGAACACTTTGCGGGGTTTTTTGCCTATTTGTGCAAGACTATGGTTATGCTGCAGGAACTACTACAGAAAATTGCTAAATTTTAGTACAAACTTGGGTATCTTATTTAGCAGCACAATGGAAAATAACAGTATAAAATACATCCATTTTGATCATAGCACACCCATTGTTTGTGATCTGATGCAAAGCTGATAATATTTGTAACTATGCTTAATTTGAATGTCACAAATGGGGAAAATGTTACTTTTAGAAAAGGATTCATCCATATTAGAGGAAAACAAGCATGTGTTGACAGAGATCATGCTCAGGAAAAGGCATTTGAATAAAGTCCTGTTAGTCATGATCTGGAGGTGGGGTTGATTGTGATTCCACTGATTTTGATGGGAGCTTGTTTCTCTCACACCTCACTTCAGGGCCTGTGAAATTTCATGGAGTGGCTTCTCCTCTCAGCCTTAGCAGCACTCATGTACAGAGAGTGTGTACTTGGTCCTGAAGGATTTAGAACAGTGTCGAGTGTTCTTGTTTGCTATCTTGTGTGAAGTAGGCATGCAGCTTCCTGGCCAGCCTAAATCAAGACCACAGGAGTGTTAGAGACTATAAAACAAATAGGCTGAACATTTTTTAACACCTACTTTGAAAAACGTTTAAAATTATGAAACCTGATAGACTGGTCACAGAGCATTTTAAAGTTAAATCTTCACAGGTGTTATTTTTTGAGCTTCATATGCCTAGGTTCTGTTGCTTCAGTCAGAGCTCCCATGATTGGCTTGAGGTTTTCCATTGATATGGGATACATGGGAACACTTCTAGAAAATTATTTACATCATAGTCCATGACAGATCTGTAATTTACATTTTTTTAAAAAAACATATAGTTGATTTAGTTGAACATAGTAAAAAGTATCTTATTTCTTTCCTAAAGGCTTTCAAATCTCTGTCTGTATTCAGAATTAGATCAAAGTACTATTTGTTGTTGTTATATGATCATTAAAAAGTTGATACAACTTGGATACCAGTTCTGATCAGGCATGTCTGTCAGCTCCCGACACAAAATCCTCTTCATATTCTGCAAGCTTGCACTTTTTTAAAACCTTTATCCTTATACAGTAAGAGCACTTAAAGTTGAATTTCAGTGCTGAGAGAGTTTGTTATTTGAATGTTTTTTTAATGTAGTTAGTATTCAGGGATGAATCATACACTGTAAGGTGTTTAAAACAAAAAACTGGCAGTAATTCTTAAATGGTTTTGCAGTTGTTCAGTAACAGAAATCCTGCTAGACATTTGTGCTGCTCACTGCCTTGTATAGTAAGTGAGATTAATTGCTGTAACTCATGAATCCAAGGTACTTTTTGTTAAATACTGAGTCTTCCTCAAATGTTTTTGCTAGCATGAGGATACTCCATTCCAGGGAACATGAGGTGAAAGATGAGCTGCCTTTTTAGTAGAGACCACAGTCTGGAAAGCGAGGAGCATCCTTGTTGACCTTGTTGTAAAGGTCCACTGAAGCAAGCTGAAAAAAAGAAAACCCAGTCCATGCTGTCAGTCACAGGGAATGTGATACCCAATTGCAGCCAGGTTATCTTTAAAGGCAGGAGCTCAGGTACAGCTGGCAGCAGTGTAGCTGCTGCAGAACTGGGCTCAGTGAGTGTTGTTTTGCTCTGCCAAGAAGCAGTTGGCCCTGTGGACACACTTAAGGAATCTGATACACTCTGGAGTCACTGGACTTGTTAGAAAAGTGTGACCTGTTCTTGAAACTGAGGGAATCCTGCATCTTAGTGATACATGACTTAGTGACATGACTCCATGAGAAGGATATTTATTTAAAATCCTGTACATTTTAGTGTTTTTTCTAAGAAGCCTAAAGTGTTCTTGCTTTAGATTCAGGTTGTTCGAGTTCAAATACCTGTGGCCAAAAATACAGATGCCCACGTTCTACTGAAGCCCACAAGCCTGTAAGTTGTTGGTACTCACTGTGTAGTACACCAAGTTCTTGGTCAAATGCAGTCTTAATCTTCAGTCAGGTTGCAAACTCTGTGGCTCCTCTTAGTTTAGATGATTTGCATGAAGTGTTGCTTGCTGGGTTTGGAATGTGCTTTCGGTTTCTTGTTTGTTTGTTTTTTAATGAAGTATTCCATTGAGGCCTCCCGTGGCACTCTGCCATACACATTCATGGTGTGCATGTGAGAATGTTTTCTTTGAGAATGTCAGAAGGAAACTACCTGTACAGCAGCCATTTAACTGAAACAAAATTTGGTTTTATGCCATGCTGGTTTTGTTTTTAAAAGTGTTTAGAAATGACGCTTCTATAAATACATATATTTCTATAGGATATATAAACAAGTGCTTCCAATGAACTGATCACATAGTACCTCACAGAGAATGTTAATATCTTTATCCCTTTGATTGACAATGACACTCAGTAGTAATCTGCCCCAAATAAGGGACAGATCTGGGAATAAAGGCTTTGCTTTTTCAGCCTTAATTGAATGCTCTGACTTGGACTGGTTCCCAGGGATTCATGTCCTGTTTGGTGTTTTGACATAAATGGACAGGATTATGAATTCTCAACCTGAGTGTTAGGGATAGGGATAGATATAACAGATTAGAGGCACACTTTTTTGTTGTTGCTTCCTTAACATTGCATGCAGCTTGATGATGATGTTTAAATATGTTACTTCTTTCTCCATAGATACACCCTGCATGACAAGGCATCCCAGCTCCTGAGCAGCCACTTTCACTTTCCAGACCTGCTGTTTTCAAGCCCCTGCTTTGGGACCTGTAGGAGGTGGGGCAGAGGAACAGAAAGAGCTTTTAATGATAGTTGCTAATTAATTACCTTTCAAAGCCTAACCTTTTTCAGGTACCTTGTCTTTATAGACCCTATTGTTTTATCAGGCTGCTTATTACCTTATACTAGTCCATGTAAGACCACCAGGTTTTTTAGGCATGGAGGCTCCTTGATGCTTAAAGGTAGTGGGAGGTCTGAATTCTAGTCCATCTATAACAGCATACAGAGCACATATAACAGCAGCAGGCTGTGAGGTAACCATATTCCAGCACAGCTTGTTTTGGGTTAATGGATTGAGGTAGTATGGCAAGGGAGAAACTCTAGATATCTGGATGGATGGGGCTCTTCTGTATTGAAAATAAGCTGGCTGCATGAATTCAGGTTAAGAACCTAGGACAGGTGGCCCCTGACAGCAGTATTCATATATTCACATATCATATGTATGTATATGTATGTGTGTGTGTATACTCACACATACATTAAAATGTATATATAAATATGCTCAGCATTTTCGTAAGTATAGAGAAAGCTGTCTAATACTTCAGTATTATCTGCCATTAGAAAAGACAATTTAAACAGGTTGGACATTAACAACTTGCATGAGGTTGTGTACTCTGTTTTTTCAGTAGTCTTTGCAGTCTTGCTTCCACATAAGCCATCATTTGTAGCACCATCCTCATCTTCCTCCTGCAACAGCTTTTGTTGCCTCTAGTTCCTTGCTCCTTTTTTTCCATGTGTTTGATTATCCCAAGCTGCTGACCAGAAACATGCTGCTCTTCTGACATGTGGTGGGTCAGAGATGCTTTCACTATCTTGATATTGTCCAGGCATGTTCTAGCACACTTGGGAAAATTGTTTGCACGATAAACAGATTACATTCAATTTGACAGTGCCCCAAAAGTTATGATTGGATGGGGTGATAATATTATATTCCAGAGAAACAACAGACACCTGATCTGAGTTTCATTCTATAAAAAGGATGTAGGTCAAAGCAATGGATGGAGGGGAATTTTCCTGATTTGCTATGGAGATTAAAGATCAGAAGTTTATTTTGTTTGTCATTGAGTGTAAATAATGTAATCTTCTGCAGATAAAGGTCTATATGAGACGCTGTAATTTAATTTGTATTAAGGCTGTGTCCAGAGTGATGTGAGTTTGTTTCAGAAATGTTTGCTCTATGTTTGAGAAAAAATTATAACTTGAAATTAGAAAGAGGAAAAGGAATAAAGTGCTGGATCTTGCAGATAGTGATCTCATTGAGGAACCTGTTATAGGTCAGCTGTGTCTTCTTCAAAGCTCTGAGTGTGATCTGTATTGCAAATTATTAAATATGTGCTAAGACAGAGTGGAGTATGGCACAATAAGGCAACTTGGAAAAATTATGTCAAGGCATTGTATGTGTTCAGCAATTTTCTTTGCAATCCTGCTCTATTTTACAACCTAATCTATTCCCCACTAAGATGTGCTAGAGATAAACATTGCAGATGCCTTTGTGTGCAGAGAAGAAGGAGAGGCAATTAAAAGTCTGCATGCTGTGAAGTCTCTGGGTACCAACAGTGTCTGCCCAGACCTTTACAGTGTTTTAGGGAACAATTGGTTTTCCTGCTGGCTGGGGTGACTGAATGCAAATAATTTTTGAATAAGGACAGTAACTCAGTTATTTTCATACTGGCTAAAGTCCTGCTGGTTTGCATAAAGGTTTCCGTTTTTATTTACTGGTAGCAAAGTCTTGGTGACAAAGTGGTTCCTTCAGATCAGATGCTGTTTTATTAGAGCACATCATTTCATTTCTGACAAAGAAAAGGCAAACTTCTGGTAATGTAGTGAAAGAACCTGGGGCAGGGCAGTATCTGGTATTGGCCTCCATCAAAGACAAGGAAAAGCACAAAAGAACCAAACTGCTGGCCATGGTCTGAATCAAACGGGATTGCCTCCGAGCGTAGCAAGTGAGAGGGCTTTTCTTTCTTTTAACTTGCTCCCTCCTACATCATTACTGGGCTGAGTAAAAAAAAAAAATTCTTTTGAATAATAATAAATGGGATAATTTGCTTCAAGAAAAGCTAGTGCCACATAGGAGGCAGATAAAGCTGCTCCATGTGAGCTTTATTTATTTTTTCATTAAAAATTTTCAAAATGCAAATTCTAAAAGCAAGCAGCCATTGTAAGGAAAAGAGGAACAACAAAATGTTGTGTTTGCTTGTCATTGCAGACCATTTATACTTCAGTAACTTCACTCCTATGTGCAGTTTCTTGGCTGCAAGTACTGCTTGTCCGAAACATGGATTTTTGGTCTCAGACTTGTTCAGTCCAAAATTCCTTTTCTTATTTTAGATAAATATAATAAAGCTGTATACATTTTTTATTTATATTGCATGTATATTATATATACATGTTATATATTACTTATGTAAGTATGTTGTTACTTAGATAGGTAAGAAACTTAACCTATAACTTTTAAGTACAAGTTTTTTTCCCATGGTTTACAATGCCATGAATTACTAAATGTGTTACCATACAGGTGTAGCTGGAGTGAGGCTTAGTTCTCAGGCATTAAGATGACCTTTGAACTTTGATTAGCTGATAAGTATTTATAGTTTCAGGTGTTGGCAAAGTCGGAAGCAGCCAAACATTGGGAAGTGTAACTTGACTTTGCAGATTTAAATTAGGATTTGCATATTGCCTTATATGGAACTTGACTTTGTTTCAAATAACTTCTGCATCTGGTTGTGTGGTGGGAGAGCACAGCCAAATGTTTTAAAGACATATCAAAAGCCATAGAGCCATTTAAATTGGAAGGAACCTCCCAGATGGTCAGCCATTAACCCAGAACTGCAAAGCCCACCACTAAACCATGTCCCTAAGTGCCACATCTAAGTGTCTTTTAAATAAATAATAGCTGCTTGAGCTGCTAGATGCTACCTCTGCTACACTGGGATTGTTACATTGAGAAACCATGATGTAACTGTAGTTAAAATAATCTCATTAGCAGGAGCACAAATCCCCTTTAACTAAAGTAGTTTTACAGTGTCACTGGATTTCAAAATGTAAACTTCTGATTCTTGTGCTGTGGCCTGTGTAAGAGCTAAGAAGGTAACAAAAATTAATCTTGAAATTCTGGAATGAGTTTTGAGATATTAATTAGAATTTAATAGGTGCCTAAGGATTTTATGCCACAAGACTCACTGAAAGTTTGTGGGTCTTGTGCTCTGCTTGGTGTTGCTCTGGTTTTTAAGATTCAGGATTCTGCATACATTTTCAGAGGCCTGGCTCCTGAAAGAAGGGCGTTTTCTTTGTCTTTCTTCCCCCTACCCCCTGAAGTTACACTTCTGTTTCTTGTAAAGAAAAGGCTGAAAGCGCCAAAGCAAGTAGAAAGGCTCAGAAATGCAAATATAAACAATTCTAAATCTTTTTCATGATTTAACAACAGTCTCACACTTCATGCTTGGCCTGGTGTATGTCTTTTTCAGTGCCTGAAGCTGGTAATGGTCAAAGTCCTATTGAGAATTTCACACCATGTTCTGCTTCAGTCAAATCAGATGCAATGATGGTTCCAAGAAAGGCCCCCATAATCTGTGGCTGTAGGACATAACTGCCTTTCTGTGAGGTACAGAAAGTAAGGTGCAGAGTTTAAATTCCTCTTAGTACCTTTATCAACTACATCCAGCTTTCCACAGTCATTTTGGGTTACTCAGAACTGTCAGGTAAGTCCCTTTTAATCCAGCCTCAATGTGATCTGAAGCTGTCAGGGAACAAGGTGTGTGGAATTCTGGAGCTTCCTGGCCAGCAGAAGCTGGAAACCCTATGGGATGGCAGGGGAAGGGAAGGCTGCTGACTCCTGGCAGAGAGAGCATGCAGCACCAATGCAGCAGCAGCCAGTCTTCTGCCAAAAGAAGTATTAACCTGACATGATGCTTCCTAGAATCAGGAATCTTAGAGGAATAAGCAATTTCAGGGCTGAAAGAGGCTCCTAGGGATCTCCTAACATCACAATGTATTTATTCCCTGTGAGTGAATGCAGGAAAGATGGATGGGAAGATGACTGAACAGAAGGGGTTTGTAGTACTTGCAGAGCCTGCTTTGGAGTCTGAAAGGCCAAAAATATGATCACAATATTCAGCTGAGGGATTGAAGATGTGATTTAGAAATGGAACAGTTTGTCAAACTGAAGCTAAAGATTGAAGTAAGTATGCTCTATAAAGGGTAGGACGAAGACATTTCAATAAAACTAACTCTGATCAAGAGAGAATAAGCAACTGACAACATCTAGAGGAATTTTTCTGAGAGAAGAACATCAGAAGAACTGCCAGAATTGTATAATTTTCCAATCTTTTTTGTTAAAACATAAATTAGTATATAACATGAAGAAAAAATTATCACAATAGAAATAATTAAATTCTTGGCAAAATGGACATGAATTTTGATGCCATTCCACAATTATTTTTGACAAATGTTTTAAATTTGGCCCAAACAATAGCAAGGAGGCTTTGTGGGTGTCATTATATGCAATCTAGACTTGAATGATTTGTTTCAGTCATCATAAAGAGGGGACAATAGAGGAAGCATGACAAAAATATAGACAACAATGAGTAGGGCTGCACATAATTTTTGCTCTCCTATTTTTATAATAAATCTTTGTGGTTTGCTTAAAGCCTCAGCTCCCAGATTCATGTAGTAAATAAGCTAAGATTTCATTACACAAAAAAAAGTTTCTGATTTCTGCAATTGCAAAAGAAATGCTTATATACAAAGCAAGAAGAGGAACCAAAATACATCTTTTTAAGAGACAAAAAGTAAAATTCACCTTTACTCTAAAAAAATCTAAAGGTGTGAAGACTTGATGCTGCTATTAGAGCTCAGGTCAGTATTTATATTGTGTTGGTTGCTCGGACAGACGTTACAAGGCCTTGTATCCCATCCTTTTTCTTTCCTTAGCAGCATCCTCTCAGAGCCTGGAAAATAACATGCCTTTGCCCTCTTTTCTATGTGCTTTTTTCTTCAGCAGATGCTGCCAAGCCCAGCGTCTGATTTCAGTCCTGATCTGGAATAACTCCAGGGCTGTGCACGAAGCCATCTCTTTCTTCCCTCCTAAGGGGGTGGTGGCAGGGAGGAGACTCAAGACCATTGTTCTCCCTCCCCGTGTCCCTCCTGCAGCAGCAGCCAGCATTGTTCCTTTTTATTTACTTCCCCCTCTCTGTAAACCAGCAGGGCTCGCAGCAGAGGGATGCAGCTCTCATTAGAGTAATTAGGCTGATTTATGAGAGAGAGGCACAGTGAAGGAGAGCTTTCCTAATACAGTGTTCCCCACGGGAGGCTGGGCACCCTCCAGCTGCTGGCAGGGCAGTGCTGGGCCTCCCTGCCAGCTTGGGCTGGAGAGCCCCCTTCTCTTCCACCTTTCATAGCAGTGAAAATGGACAAACGCATGCAATAAATGCTTTTTCCTTCACGTGATATTCTTCACAAGTTGTATATTCCACATTAATATTAGAAGTCTAATTAAAGTAATAGAGGGATCCTTCCTTAGTGTTAACTAAGCGTAGGTTTTGACTTATAAAGGACTCTTCAAGCAAGTTTGCTGTGTCACTGCAACAGCAAGAGCTGCTAGGGCTTTGTTCCTCTCCCGCTCTGTGGAAGTTTTGCATTACTTTTATGAAAGGCTTATGTATGATGAGTTAGGAAATTGCCTTCTTCCAAAGAATGTGGATATTCTTTGTTCATCACATTTCCTTGGTGTCTTCATGGCAAGATACAGTGTGTCCCTGGGAAGTCCTGCTGCACTTCGGAAGTCCCATTTGAAATGTGCGTGGGCCTATTTAAAAACGCATTTAAGCTTTTAAAAATGTATTATACAAGCAAACAAAAATAAAATATCATTAGCAGTTCTGCCTGTTGTGTTTCTGCCAGGCACCAGGATCAAACTTGCAAAACTTGCCAGCTGCCTGCACTTCCCAGTGCAATATTTGTGGTCACCTTTATGGAAGAAATGTACTCATCAGTTGTCTTCACTAACAGAGTGGTATTTATAGTGCCTGAAGGGCAATTAAATAATTTTGAAATTATCCCCCAAGTCTATAAGAGTATATTTTATCCAGGAATATTTTAATGGTGCTAAAGGCATGTTCAATAGCCTCTCACATTGCAAACTGAAAATCCTCAGTGAACACAAGGAACTGCTAGTAGAACTAAGCCAGAAAAGTGAAAGCAATAAAAGAATGAAGTGCATCTTATAAACTGACATGGAAAATCTTACTGTAATTGTAATCACCTCAAAATGCCTCATACCACCCACAAGAAAAAGCACATAGGCATAATTTTCTGCCACCTTCATTTGTTGTCTCAAATGCTCTCAATACACTTTCAACTGGAACATTTGCCTCTGCCTTTTGCATACACAGAAAAGCAGTGCAAGCCCCAGTTTCATTCATCCCATTCCTTCATGCAAAGCCACAGTATATTTTTGGCTGCCACAAAGTTGATCCATGAGGAAATATACCCCCCTTTCACAGACTTGCATTCCAGAAACTGAGTAAAAACATCATTTTTTTATGAAGCTTCATTTTTTAAAAAAAGAGGTGGGGAGGGCAGCCCCTGGGACCTTTACAGCTGGAAGAAAAACTTTGGTGTTTATTGATACCTCATTAGTCTGTGTTCACCACAAAACAGCATCTAAAAATGTATCCAAACCATAACTTTATTCTCAGAGGTCACTGTTTTGATGGGTAAATATGCAACCTAGTTTTTTGTGCCTCCAGACACAGTGATTTCTCTGATGGATGCGGAGCATTCCCATGGGAGGAGCTCATGGTGTTGCTTGTGTGCAAGAGCAATCTGTGGGGAAGAGACAGCTCTAAAATGGAGAAATGGTTAAAACACAGTGCAGTGTGCCTCTCTCCTAAACAATCATACTGTACTCGCTTTCCTTCTCAGGATTGCTGCCTTGGGGAGGTAACGAATTACCATTGCCATAAACCGTAATCAAGATCAGATGTGCAAAGGGAAAGGCCTTGCTCAAATATCAAAGGGGTCTTAAACTGCCAAAACAGAGCAAGAGAGAGAAATCCTGAGGGAATCAGAGATGTAATTTATGGCTGACCTTCATTTTAACTGGGAAATCTGTGCTCTTGAATGGCAATGCTCCCATGAATGCATGTTTTATTTTGTTTCAGCTTATTGGGAATCTTTGTTGTAGCAGTATTGATGTAGGCTCCCAAACAAAGAGCCAGGGACAAGGACTCACATATGCATTCCAGAAACATTTTTCTGCACTGAACCCGTCTCAACAGTGACAGTGCCTGGCTTTGTCATCCCCTCTGCCACGGCGCTGCCTTCCAGGGCTCACTTCTTTGTGTTTGCATCACTGCTTGCCCAAATGACTCCACATTTTCTGCATTCTCATAACCCAATTGTATGGGAAATAAAGTGGAGTAACAGCTCTTCAAGGGGATTTTTGCTGCCACAGGAGCAGCTGATACTTGGATGAGCTCTCAATCCTGCGTCCAAACAGTACAAGAGAAAATAGATATATTAAATCTTTGCAGTCAAATATTAAATCACAGTACCACAGTGCCTCAGCTTCCCATGTGCTGCCTCCTTCTGTGAATTTCACAGGGTAACATTTGGAGCCCCACTATGCTTTGAAAAAGTTAGACTAAAATCTAGTTCCAAACTTGTCTTTGCAACAGACCCAAACTGCACACCAAGCATTGGAGAAATTCAGATCCACATTTCCATCTGTATTCTGTATTTTGTGGCCCAATTCCAGCCATAGTTTAAAACAAAGATGCTTAGCTGTTGTCAGCTGAAGTACTGTACTCGGTTCCCCTGGCTTCCCATCAAATATGCTGTTTTAAAGCAAATACTCATTTACATCATCTCAGAATTACACTCTGGATTCTTTTTAAATTCCAGTTAAACATTTTGATGCGAAAGCATATCCTCTGAATTATCCCTTACACTGAACATGAACTACAAGCAACAGAAGTGTTTAAAAGGGACGGAAAAAGAACAGATTGCCAGGAAAGCCTGTAGAGTTGTCCATTCTGAAGAAACGTCACCAGGGTGTTAGCTATTTGTAAGTTACACTTCTTGTCTGATAACCAGAAAGAGATATCTGTCATAAATGTCACAACTCCTTCACAGTTTCCCCTCTCAGCTTCCTCTGTGAACAGCTGTCAATATGTGTATGAAACCAACTTAAAAAACCCCAACAGATAGGTTTGATGGCTGATTTAAACAAAGTGATCTTTTAAACTGAGCTTTTTCAGGTAAACCCCCCTTTGGAGCTAATTGGATGGGAGTTATTTTTCATCACTGCAAGATGTTGTTCTGCCACACAAAATATGTCCATTTTCAGTAAATACGGAGACGTCTGCAACAAATTAACTTCGGAGTTTTGGAAACACAGATGGTATTTGTTGCACTTTCCCAAAGGGCTACATTTGCTCTAGATAAAGCAGAGCTTTTAGCTATTCTGTTATTTTTAGGAGTTTGTTCATTCCCATAATTTCCACTTCACTACGAAGAGATAAAATCTGATTTGCCGTTTATCTGCTACCAAGCAGGCAGATTAAACAATTCATTTTGTCACTCGCGCTGTGTTTCTGCCGCCTCAGGCGTTTAATTCTAAAACTCGGTTTGTCGGTAAGGTGAGCCATGGAGATTCTGTGCTCCACAGGGAGGTCTCGGCGTTGGCACATCCCGGGCAGGCAGAAATCCCCCGGCGCTGTCTCTGCGCTTTGGCGTGGCCCGGATCGCCAGGAGGGGGCGGTCCTGGACTTGGGAAAACAAGCGTGAAACATTTCATACAGCCTTTGCTGGAGCCCGCGTTTATGACTGTCTACATTTTTGGAATTTTTCACCCCCATCATGGCGTAAGAAATTCAATTTAGGACACTCCCGGGAGGGCAGAATTCCTGCGACCTTTAGACAGAACGGGCAGTGGAAGGGCAGAGCGTGCAGCGGGGCGTGCGTCCGTCCCACCTAAACACGGGCATCCAAGGGAGAGAGAGGGCTAACTGGGAAGCCAGTTTGTCTTTGCTTCCCTCTAGAGTCGATGGATGGATCTGGCTCCTCCGAATAGATTCAGCACGTACAGCTGTCAAAAGCATCGCTCAGTTCACCATCCCCTGCTCCCAGGGAGAAAATAATCAGATTTTGCAGGCAATGTAACACAACATGCTTTTTGTAAATCCTTTATTGTGATGCTTAAGTCATTCAAAGTGAACACTGTGAAGTAAATTACTACTTTTTCACTTACAATGTTAAAACACACATAAGATGGCTTAAAGATGTAACTTGCCAGTGACAAGTTCTGTTAAGAAGTAAGAGAAATAGTCTTGTGGCAGAACTGTCATTGATTGACTGCTAAAACATGCAAATGAATCCAGGGAGGAATTCAGACACCTCTCAAGTGACAAATTCTTACTGCAAGTAGATCAGATTCTGCTCTCCTGAATGACACATTTGACTGAACAGTGTTTATAACAAGCAAATAGTGAGTGAGATAAATATGAGGGCAGAGCAGCAAACTGCTCCTGCTTGGCAGAGCAGCAGGACTTCCCTCTGCACCCTGCACATTCCTTTGCCATCTGGGATTTCTCTGGCCCTTCCTGATTTGACACTTTCCTTGCTGTTTCTGGGATCAGGGAACACACATGTTAAATGTTAATCTTTTACAACTCAGTTCCTGCATATGGATTTAGGATCACTCTTGTCCACAATCCTAAAGGTGTTCAACAGCTCAGTAAAATTGCTTTCTACTGCACAGAGACTTGTAAAGTCCTAGTGGGTGCCTACCTGCATGTGAAGGCACCTAAAATCCTTTCATAATCTGGACCTTGCTTTGGCCACAAGCTGCTTCATTCCTCCAGCTAACTGATGACAGTGAAAAAGCAGGATTCAAACCAGATTTAAACCTGCAAACAGCCTGACTGCAGCTCAACAAATGGTCTTTTTCCATAACTCCAGGATTTATTTTCATTTGAGATTTTTCTACCAGTTATATATTGTCTTCTTTTGTTATTTTTCCTACTAACAAATAAAAGGAACAGCTCTGCTAACTTAGAGTCATCTTTAGTGACATCCTCAAGGATGGCATCCCTCAAATCCTTAAGCCAGAGATGCAATGCAGTAATCTGCATGGATTGGAGAGAGAACAAGCTATCCCCAAAGCTGCTCCCAAAACCATCAGCATCTCTCTCTTCCTCTCCTGGGAAGTTACACAGCAGTGGCTGTGAGAATGGCTGCAAGAACACAACCTGCAGGTTCCAGTCAGCAAGAACAGGGGCAGATCATCAGAAGGTAAACACAACACTGAGCCAGTTCAGAAATACTGTATTAGTGGAGCCTACATTACAGATTTGGCTACAAGCACCTTGGGGGGATCACACCAGAGGACAGGGACTCATGGGCAAAGGGCCACTGCAGAGAAACAGTCATTCTGAACTCACATGCATATCCCAACTTGCACAGGATATTCCAGACTTGCTGCATCTGTCCTCTGGCTACCAAGATGGTGAGTTCATGGTTCCACGTGGTTGCTCTCAAGGCCTCTTGAGGGTTTGCACAGCAGCCTTCTTGCAGGTTCAGACTTTCTTCCTACAGGCAGCACAGCTCCAGGGGGAAGGGGGGATTCCAAGACCTTCTCGTGCTAGCCTTGATCCCTTAGTGCTGTGGCTTCTTTGCAATGATTGATGTTCACACAGCACTTAGCACTGCTGTCCTTTGTGGAAATGTAACTTGCAAACCATTGTTCACTTGCCAGAAAGCTCTTCCTTCATATTGTATGTGACCCACAGTAGCACATACAGACACAAACTTTCTTCCCAAGACAACTGGCAAGCAGTGCTACATCCTCATCCTGTTGTCACTCCAGTGACATCCAGTTGTATCTTACACTTGTGAAACACCTTTACAGATGTTTGCAGCTAAGCCACAAACTTCCACCTCTGTTGTATCTCTCCTGAAAACTGGATGGCTCTTCTGCTGTTTTGATCAGCAGTGTGGTGTACCAGGTAAGAGAGTGAACTGCTCAGCAGAAAGGGGCTGTGCACACTTTGAC